TTTGAGGAATTTCCTGCCAAGGCTCTCTGGAAGACAGGGAGAGAAAGAAAAGCAGCGCTTAACCCTCGACTCCCTGCGCCCGGCCCCAATCCCATGGCGGTGGGGGATGCCAGCGGGGTGGGGAGCACTCTTAGGGGGGCTCTGTTTTGGGGGTTCACTCCTTGCTGCCTCCCCCCTCCTATCTGCTTCAGTCAAGCTGCAGAGCCCTGCGTTGCCTCTGGGGAAAACAGCTCCGTGCCTCAGTTTCCCCACTGCAGCAAGCACCCCTGGTAGAGCCCATCCCCTCTCCCTTGTTCCCCAGCCTGTCCTCATGTTGGTCCATAGGAACACCAGTGTCAGCCCCCCCCTTCCTCCCCCCCGCAGCCCCCAACCACGTCCCAGCCCCCGCTCCCGCCCCCTGAGGGCTTCAAGAGGTTGGGAAATCCCCGCACCACGGAGCCCAGCTCCGATCTGCGGTCCTGCACGCAGGAAGGGGCGTTTGGTGAGGAGGACTGAGCGGCGCACAGCGCTGCGCGTCCCCATCCCCAGCGCCACCAGCGGCGCCCTGCCCGCGGTGCCACCCTGCGACGCACCCCTTGCACATCCAAGTGTGCTCCCTTCCACGTCCGCATGGGCTCTTGCACACCCGCTCCCTTGCACACCCGCTCCCTTGCACACTCGGCCCCGCTCCTTTTCTCCGCCGTTCCTATGGCAACCTCCGCATGGCACACAACCGCTCTCCGATTTGAAATAAAAGTTGTTTTTCCTCCCCTCCTCCTTTACTCCACTCTTTCGCTTTTCCCCCCCTCTCTTATTTTGATTTCCATTTGGATCATAATCCGCCCGTTGCCATGGCAGCGCTGGCAGCCCATTATGTTCCAGCCCTTGCAGAAAAGGCCCCGCTCCCGCTTTCCCTTCCCTTTTCCAAGGGGTTTGAGGAGCGAAACCCTCCTCGCCGCAGGGCCAGCCCCTGCCACTGCTGTCCCCAAGCAGTCACAGTGCCCGGCTCTCATGCAGCACCACGACCACATCCCATCCATCACTCCCAGCACTGCGTCCCGCACCCACATCCCCTTAACTCTGCCCATCCCAGCATCCTCCTCCCCTGAACCTCTTGGGGCACTGCTGTGTCCCCAACACCCCAGGCGCAGGGACACCTCGGGGCTCACCACTGTGACATCTGGGTTGGTTTGCCACTTGGCCACCTGTGCCCAGGTGTGGGCGCAGTGCTGCAGGGTGACACGAGGAGCCAAAGCAGGACCATCCCCTGCCCCTGGTCTCTGCCTCTCTGTCCCCTGCCCCTCACCTCGGTCCCCTGCCCGTGGTCTGTGCCCCTCAGTCCTCATCCCTTCCTTGGCCCCCAGTCCCTGCCCGCGCCGTGCCCACCCCTGGCTGGGAGCAGGAGGTTATGAAAATGAGCCGTGTGCCCAGGAGACTGTAATTATCTGGTAAGTGTGAAAGCTGGAGTGATTAATTAAGAGATAATAAAAAGAAAAGGAGGCTAGAGAGGGAATAACGGATGCTTTGATGATAAAACCTGAGGTAAGGCAAGCAATTAGGGGAATCTTTATGGAGAGTTAGCTATAATCCCCCTGCTGCAGCGCGGCGGGGGGCTGAGTGCCCACGGACAGAGCCACGGACAGAGCCAGCAAGACCTGGGGGACACTGCATCCCCACCCAGGGATGGGCACTGGGGACACTGCTGGGAATCCTGGGGGGGTGGCAGCCCCATCTGACCCCACGGGGCGAGGTGGGTGCCATAAGGATGCCCCTAAGGATGCGCTCAGTGGGGCAGGTGGGCACCACGGGTGCAGCCCAGGTGGGGTCATGGCAGCAAGAAAGCTGGCTTAGGATTCAATCGATCTCAAATGAAAGGCTGTGGATGTAATTAGTGGTGGGCAGCGGGCGGAGGGGCCAACGGCCCTGATCTCACCTCCAAGAGGAGGGTGGTTTGGTGCCAGAGGTCACAGCAGTTGGGTGGATGGACGGACGGACAGACAGACAGACCTGGCGACCCTGCAGGTGCTGCTGGTGGCTGCTGTATCACTGGGGTAGGGATGCTGCCTGCCCATGAAGCTCAGCCCCAGGTGGGAGCAGCCGGCTCAGTCCTGGCATGGGCAGCCCAGGCAAGCCCTGGCACAGCATGGTGATGCCATGCAGGATCCATCCCACGGCCTCAAGGCTGCTATGGAACCCTGTGGGGCCAGGGAGCACTGGGGGTCATGATATTCTCCCATGATATTCATCCCCTCCCCCTGCATTTAAGCTTCTTAATCCCAGGGTGCCCTGATCCCAATTTGCCCAATGGGTTTCTGAAGGGCACTGCGGGCACAGGGGGGTGATGAGAACAGGGGCCAACCCCAGGGCCCCCTCACTGTGCTCTGCAGTGCCTCCCCTGAGATTCTATCTCCCCCCTGGGGTGCTCTGGGGACATGGTCAGGAGGGGACAGTGGGGACAGTCATAGTGACCCGGAGGGGATGCTGGAGGCAGCAGACACAGTGCTCTGCGGGTGGGCAAAGGAGCATCACAGAGCCAACAGCAGCTCCTCTGCTCTGTGAACATCCCAGCATCCCCCAGCCCATGGAGGGGACGATGCCACGTGCTGGGGCATCCCCCAGCCTCAGGCCCAGGGCCACCCTCCTTTCCTGCTGCTTTCTCTGGGGCTTTTATTGCCCAGCAACACACAGCAGGCACCAGGGCATGGCATCGTGGCTTTGGCAGCATGTGGGGAACCGAGCCTGGATGAAAGATGGGGGGGGGGGAGGCACATGCAGGCACCCACCACCATCCTCAGCAACCCCCTGAGCCCCCCCAGATGGCCACATTTGGGGTGCAGCCACCTCACCCCATTCACAGCACAAGGAAGCGGCCCTGTGCCCTGCACCATCCGTCCCTCCTGCCCCATACCCTGGGGGTGTGGGTGCTAATGGAGGAGGTGGGGGGTTCCTCCTTGGTGGTATCGCCTTGGGGCACGTACAGTGGAACCACAGCCCTCTGCCTGCTCTCCCACACAACCACATCATCACCCCAGACACGGGGACCCACAGCATCCAGTCCCACTCCTGTCCATGGGGTGGAAATACCAGGGTCCCCCATGGCACATGGGAGTCTCAGCCGCTGCCCCCAACTCCATGTGAGCCCCCGCTGCCACATCTCTGCTGTTTCAGTTTCTCAGGAGAGGAGAAGGGAATGGAAGGGAAAAACACCAAAAACCAAAAGAAAAAAAAAAAAAAAACCCACTGAGAGAAAGAGAAGAAGAATCGCCCAGAAAATGAATAAATATTTCAATTTGAGGCGCAATCACAGCGAGTGATTGAAACGGGGGGAAGAATAATGGGTTTCATTTAGATAAGATACAGAAAATTATTTAGTGAGAAATGAAGAGTGATGAAACCCATTCAACATCTTTGTGCGAGCGAGTGGAACTCCATGAATGGCAGCGACCCCCCGGAACGCACATGCCTGGCACGGGGGGGGGGCACCAGGTTTGCCCCCTCATCTCCCTGCTCTGCTGCGGGACCAGGGCTGGGGGGGGAGCAGAATTTGGCAGTGGTGGAAGCACGGTGGGGCTCACAGTGGAACCGGGGGGGTGCGGTTATGTTGGTGGGGTGCTGCCACCCCCATCCCCTCGCCTTCCCCTCGGCACATGGCACGGAGCGGGAGCGCGGGCGCTTTTGTTCCTGGGAGGGCAGTGGAGCCCCGCGGCGCTTCCCCCAGCCCTGCGCGGGGGAATCTGGGATCGACCCCCCCCCCCCC